GTATCTAGCTGAGTGACTTCAACAAAGTTACTTAACCTCTCTGAGTTTCAGCTTCTGCCTCTGTAAAAGGCAGTGATGACACCCACCGTGCTGTGTCTGGGAAGCTGAGCAAGGGCAGCTGGAGCCTGGGGTCTTGCGGTTGCCAAATTTGAATTCTTGGGGCTTGATGATTGCAATTCCCAGCTCTCCCCTGGGTGGTTGACTCTGGCCCAGCCCTTCCCCGCTAGCCTCAGTTCTCCCCACATCTGGAATTGGGCGGTACATCTGGCTCTGAGTGAGACAGCTGTCAGGGACGCCCAATTTGTTGTGGAAACACTCAGCCTGTCTTGGCGCCCCTGTGTGATGGGAGGGGGGACCTGGCCCAGGCTTTGAGCACATCCTACTAGTCAGCCCCATTCTCCATGAGCGAAAAGGAAGGAAAAGGCACCCCAGGACTTCTCGCCTGCAAGGGGACATATAGGATGTGTGTCCGCATGTCCCCCCAGCATGGTGGGCACAGGTAAATGTGTTAGATGAATGAATGAGGGGATTATAAGACCTCTAGGTGCCCACTTCCTCATCTGCCCTTCCCCCAGCTCCTTCAAGCTTAGCTGGAATTCTGCCACCAGGGAGTCATTCCTTTGTTTCCTGTTAAGCTGCAGGTGCTCTGGGAGGGGCACGATGTCTGGTCTCTGTGGTTCAGCGTGACTGACCCTGGACTGACCCAGGGTGTCCGGTCCTGGGGTGGGGTTTCCTGAATGAGGGCCTGGGCTAGGGGAGTGAGAATTGGGATTCTGACACTCCTGCATCCTCCTTCCTCCTTCCTGCTCCCTCCTGCCAGCCCAGTGGGCTAGGAGACAGGGCAATGGGAGAGGGCGAGCTCATTTGGGTACCTGCCGGGTGACCTTGGACACGTTTCTTTCTTTGCCTTTTGTGCTCTGATTCTACATCTGTATCCACATGTCGGGCCAATCCCCCGTGGGAACTGGAGGGAGTGCTTGCAAGGCTTCCTTTTTCTGTTAAACCAGTATGATGCCCCTCTAGAGGTGTTTATTTTTCCACATTAAAAATAGCTTTATTTTTTATTTCATAAATAATATGTGCACATAAATAATATACATGCTTATTATTAAGAACATGAGTTTATAAAAGTATGAATAAGAAAGACAAAGATCAGAAATACTACCGCGGGGGAACCACCATCAACATTTTGGCGACTATCGGTTTACAAATCATTTTATAGTGACAGGGCCAAATATTAATTTTTCTTGAGAACACCTTTCCTCCCACATAACTGACCCCACACTCCATCCCGGTCTAGGTAGCCCATATGACAGCCTAGTGCTGGCCTTCCATGTTCTTCTCTGTTCTTATCCTGGATATAATCTTATGCAGACTTGTATAGGTAGGTTCATATACATGCATATACGGGGAGGGGAAGCAAACTGGTCGATTCTTTCGATAAATGGGATCTCATATACTACTTTTTTGCATTTTGCCTGCCTTCTTTTGCGATGCCTTATGGGAATTCCTCCAAAATGTCTTCAGCTCGTTTTAAAATGGGGATGGATAGGAGGGTGGTTGTGATAATTAAATGAGATGTGTTTGCAAAGAACTCAGCAAAATGCCACAGAGCAGAGCCCTCCCCCCCAATATTTGTACCCCTCACTCCATCTTCCCCTTAGGCATTGGGTCAAGGAAGGGGACGGAAATTATATTAGGCTCAGCCCCTGCCCATAAGGAGGAGAAAAGGGAAACTCTGAGGTGACCTCACTTCCAGGTGGGATGTGAGTGGCCCGAACAGGAATGTTGGTCATTTGGTACTATTGACTGAACACCTACTCTGTGTCCAGCCTTGCGCCAAGCCCGGGTGGGTGAGATGGAGGTCGAAAGATCTCTATCCTCAGTCAATTGGGGAACTGAGACCAGTCTGTGAGACCCCAGGCAATTTGGCACTTGTCATGTCTTGGGGCACTGCTGATGTATAATAAGGGGTGAGTGCCAGGGCAACGGCGATAAGCAGGGCTGAGGTCCCAGGGCAAGAGACCAGATTTCAGGCCTGTCACTCAAGTTCCTGGGCCCTGGTTTCCCCATTTGTAAGGGAGGGGCTTGGCGCTGGTGACCTAGGCCCTAAGATGCAGTGAGTCTGTACTGAGCCCAGGCTTCTTTCAGGGCCCTACTTGGGTTCCTAGGCCTGATGCAGGGGGCCCAGAAGTGAGACGGATGCCTCTGACTTCTGTCCTTCTGTCCCTGATGTGTACCCTTGATGTTTCAGCTCCTCAGCTCTGGACCGAGAAGACACTTGCGAAGACAAGACCAGGGAGCACGGCTGCCTACGAGACCCCCACCTTCCTCCTTCGGGAGTTTCCAGCCCTCTGGGAAGACAGCGATTTTTGTCATCTCAATCCTCTGACTTTGTTGATTATTTATCTCTCTTTTTCTAATTTCTTGGGCCAACTTTGGTCACGCCCCACACCCTACTCTTAGCCCTTTGGCAAGTTTTTGGTGTCCAAAAGCCACCTTCTGGGTGTTTCTGGTTGAGCGGTGAGGGGAGGCAGCAGGAGGCCACAGTCTCGGCGAGTGGACTGTCTCCAGCCCCGGCAGCCAGGCCTGGGTGGTGGGGTCACAATGTCCACCAAGGCGCCCATCTACCTGAAGCGCGGCAGCCGCAAGGGCAAGAAGGAGAAGCTTCGGGACCTGCTGTCCTCGGACATGATCAGTCCGCCGCTGGGAGACTTCCGCCACACCATTCACATTGGCAGCCGTGGTGGCAGTGACATGTTCGGTGACATCTCCTTCCTGCAGGGCAAGTTCCATCTCCTGCCAGGGACAACAGTCGAGGGACCTGAAGAGGACGGCACGTTTGACCTCCACTTCCAGTTTCCCCGCACTGCCACGCTGTGTGGGCGGGAGCTCCCCGAGGGGCCGTCCCCTCTGCTCAAGAATGCCGTCTCCCTGCCGGTCATCGGTGGGCCCCAGGCCCTCACCCTGCCCACAGCCCAGGCCCCACCGAAACCCCCTCGCCTGCACCTGGAGACCCCTCAGGCCTCCCCTCAGCCTTCGCCACAGGAGGCAGGGAGTGTAGATATCTGGAGAACTCCAGAGACTGGCACAGCCCACAATGGGCTGACCCCTGAGTCAGAAGCCGAGGAGCCCTTTCTGTCCCATGCCAGCTCCCTGCTCTCCCTGCATGTGGACCTGGGGCCTTCCATCCTGGAAGACGTCCTCCGGATCATGGACCAGGACCTGGGCCACATGCAGATCCCCACATAGGACCTGAGGTGGGCCAGGCTGAGCGCCCGGGCTGGGGCGAATGCCAGAGGCAAAGGATCCCAAGGTCACCGTGTGGTCACTGGCCAGCAACTTCTCACTTTGGGCCTCTGTTTCCCTCCCTCCCACCGTCTCCTCGTGGGCAGAGTGCGCCTCTTTGCTTCCCCTGAAACCTACGAGGACACGTGTGGAACTCAGCCCAAAAGTCCCTGAGCGCCTTGAGCCACTTGGACCCTCACCGCCAACTGCCCCTCCTTCCTTCAGCACCCTTAGACGAAGGCTCTGCTAAAATGGATTCCCCTTTTCCCTCCCTGCTGCCTCAGCCCCCTCAGATGCCCTGATTAGGGTTGGGGGAAGAGGCAGGGCACAGCCAGCCAGACCTTTGTCCTAGACTGCGTATGGCATTGGTGATCAAATGTCCCTCTACCCCATCTCCTCCCACATGACCAGGACTGCGTATGGCATTGGTGATCAAATGTCCCTCTACCCCATCTCCTCCCACATGACCAGGAGTTCTGGTTGCAATAAAACTCGTTGCTGCTCATAGTTGTGATCCCCATACCCTTGTCCCCTTGTCTCTGAAGACGGGCCTGTCTCTGCGACCTGAGTTGACCCTGGGGGAGACCCCAGCCCCTGCCTTTTGGGAGAGTGCACCTGATTCCAAGGTCCCAGGGCCGGGAGGGATCCGACAGTGCTGATCAGCAGACTCATCTCATCAGGGTTGTTTATTGAACGTCTACAGTGCAACTTAGCATGCTCCAGGTGCTGGGGACACCGGACGCGATACCTGCTCCCCTGGAGCTTAAATTCTAGAGGGAGAAAGATTTTAAATCTGTAAGCAAGTATGACGATTTCCAACAGTGCTGAACACTATGAAGAAAATGACGCAATTTTTTTTCCCGAGGCAGCAGTATGGGTGCTGTCAGGGTACTTTAGAGTGATCAGATGTGATTCCGAGCCAAATCGAGGTCTAACAGACATACGCAGAGGCATGAGCAGAGGCACCAAGGCACCAGAGTGAATGAGAGAAGCCGCCGTGTGGTGAAAACAGCATTGACTTCTGAGTCTGACTTGCCCTGTGTGAGGCCGTTGCTTCATTTCTGAAATGGAGTCAGCGATACCCACCTCGTAGGGTTGTGGAGACGACCAGGGATAACGTTTGGTTACGGTGTGTGACGTAAAGGAACTGGGGGCTCAGGAAGACAGCACCGAAGCTGGAAAGCAGGTTGGAGTCAACAGTTGTGCTTGCGGGCTGAAGCTGAGGATGGGAGCTGCGGAAGGATTTGGAGCAGGAGAGACACGTGGTCAGGTCGCCACCCCGACCAAGCGGAAGTTGGACTAAAGACCAAAGAGGAGGACGCCTTTGCATGATGAGGACTGGATGGGGCGGGGACAGTGGGGACGAAGAGGAGGGGAAAGTGTAAGGTGGAGCCTGGTGTCTGGAGGCCGGTGCTGGCCTCAGTGGTCCTCTTCTTCCATTCTCAGCTGGTTCATTTCTACCCTTTTGACCCTACAAATCCCAGACCCCACCTCACCCCCAGCCTTTCCTGCCTCCAAGGAGAGATTTCATACTAGAGGCAGAAGCAGAATTGGATCAGGAAACATTCTGCTTGGCCACACAGGTTTTTGGTTTTTGTTTTAGGTGATAAATTTATTGTGGTAAAATATATATAACATGAAATTTATCATTTTAACCATTTCTAAGTGTATGGTTCAGTGGCATTGAGTATATTCACACTATTCTGCAACCATCACCGCCGTCCATCTCTAGAACTTTTTTCATCTTCTCAAAGTGAAACGACATACTCATTAATAAATAACTCCTCATTCTCCCTTCCCCTCAGCGCCTGCGACCACTCTCCACTGTCTCTGAATTTGACTTCTCCAAAGACCTGATAAGAGTGGAATCACACACTATTTGTCTTTTCGTGACTGACTTATTTTACTTAGCATAATGTCTTTAAGGTTCATCCACGCTGTTGCCTGTATTGCAATTTCCCTCTTTTTAAAGGCTGGGTAAGAGTCGGGGCAAAATAGTGGAGCACGTAAACGCTGTGCTTGTCTCTTCCAATGACCACATTAAAATTATAACTAAATTATAGAACAATCAATCTGGAGAACCCTCTGAAGACTAGCTGAACAGAAGTGCTATCACTAAGGATATAAGGAAGAAGCAGCCACATCGAGGCTAGAAATGAAAAATAAATAAAGACTGAATAATATTCCATTGTCTGCATATATGCCACATTTTGTTTATCCATGCATCCACTGAGACACCTGAGTTGCTTCTACCTTTTGGCTATTGTGAATAATGCTGCTGTAAATATGGGTGTTCAATATCTGTTTGGGTCCCTGCTTTCAATTCTGTTGAGTATATACACAGAATCGGAACTGCTGGATCATATCGTCATCCTGTGTTCATTGGGGAATCACCATCCTTATTTCTATAGCAGCTGCACCATTGTACATTCCCACCAAACTTCCTGTTTTTAATCTGAACTTTTTGCCATTACTTAGTAAGGGGTTCACTATCTGTAGTGGAATCTGAACCCACGACTGTGAGACACCAAAGCCTATACTTAACTGCAGCCCCCTCCCCTCACAGGGGCTCAGCTTCAACTCGGATAAAGTGTGAAGGCAAAGGATGGGGAGCTGAAGGGACACCACCTCTTTGCCTGCAGGTTTCCCCTCAGCACTTGGGTGGCCTGTGTCTGTCTGCCTGGGAGGGGAAGAAAAGAAAAAAAGGACATTTTCCTTAAAGCTTCACCCAGCAGAAAGGCAGCAGCTCACCCTGGACCTAAGTTGAAGCCAAAGTAGCCATGAAAGGGCCATTCTTACCCTGGGTCCCCTGGACCTGCTCCCCGCCACCCTGCATCTGGCACAAGTCCAAGGGCCCTGGGAAACCACTTGGGGCTGCCATGCCAGGTGGAGAAAGGGAACTAGAAGGGGCCCTGAAGCATCAGATTAGCTTAAGTCAGGATACTCGCTTCTGCCAAGGTAGCCAGTGTTCAGGCATCATGTCCTATAAATCCTACCAACGAAAAGGAATTCCCTAAAATAGGAAGAGAAGCTGTTGGACAGCCAAAAAAAAAAAAAAAAGACAAATGTCCCTACAGTTCACTGTCAGATATCCAACATTCCTGATGCCCTAATTCTAGTATTTGTTCTTAAAATGTTATACACACACACACACACACACACACACACATTTCCTCCCTGGCATGATGCACATATCCCTCTTTCTGTGACAGGACAGCCAGGTGCATGTCTCTGAAACCTGGAGCAAAATTTGATGAAAGAGGAAACGTTCACTGGTGTTATGGGGTTGACAGGCTGTTGAAGACAGAGATGAGATCTCTAGTTCTGTTGAAATGGAGGTCTGGGGGATTCGGTTAGGGACCATTTCAAACGAACTGGTAGGAATAAAATCCCTATTAAACTTGGGATTGAGACTTGTAAATAAGTCAACAGAGATAAGGAGTGTAAATAGAACATTTTCTTTGAAAAGGTAGAAAGAAATGGGGTGATAATCAGAGGCAGACATGGGCTTAAATGCACGAGTTTGCATGATTCAACAGTGAAGGAGAAATGAATGTTACAGATGCGAGATGGATAGTTGCAGGAGGGAAGTTCTTCAGAACCTAAGTGGAAGGAACGACCTTAGACAGGAGCTAGGGACACGAGGTGGGTACCAGCGAAGTTGGTAGCTGAGTTTGGTGGCAGGAAGGTGAGGTAACTTTTATCAGACCTCAATATTTAAGCCAAAGATTTAAGCCCAGTCCTAGGTGTGAATTTTCCTCTCCCTAAAGCAGGCATATATGGTTGGCGACCCAAGTGGACTGGGCACTACTCTTATCTTCCCAATCCCTCGCCCAGGGACTGAGAGCAAAGGGTTAATCACGAGGTTAAAGGTCGGCGAGGTAGCTGGGCGCGTGCGCTCCCTCTGGCCCATCTCTGGGGCGGCCGGTTTTCACCAACCTCTCGCCTTCGCGTTTCTGGACCAGGACAGAACCTCCCGGCGGCCTCCCGCTTCTCCAAACTGGAGAGGCGGGGCTGGAGCGGGCGGCTCGGGGCGCGCGCCCGT